GGTTCCGAAAGTTCGGTTCCGAATCGATTCGGAACCCTTCCTATATTTAAATTAATTAAGTAATATATTTAAATAATTAATTTAAATTATATTTGTTCTTTCGCAATTCTGAATTTATTGATCGCTATCGAGAATTGTTGTTGTCATCCACCTTTGCCTCTTGCCTGGGAAAAAAAACACCCGGTTGGTGTTCGCCCTGCTCGTCATTTACCTTCCGGTCCTGTTCGTGGATTATTTGGCCGTGCCCGGTGGCAAGGGTATTGGTATAATCAAATTTAAATAATATATTTCCAACAATAATATATATATCGAATGAATATTAATAATATATTTTTTAAAATTTATATTGAATAAATTAAATAAATCGATAAAACAAATAGTATTATTTGATATTAAAATATATCTTTGTATTTAATTCATTTATATATTTTTATTGATATTTTTTGTGATATAATTATATATTATATTTATTTAATACAATTATTGGGATGAAATATTTGTTTTGAGGTGCGAAGGAAATGTATTATATGGATATAAATATGATGTATGTAATGATATATCGCCTTTGGATCAGGCGGACGGTCGGATACGAGAAATAAGAGGTATCCGTTTGGAAAAAAATAATTCCATATGAAGAGATATTTTCGATTTTTTGATCTTTCGAATCCGGGACCGTCTGTCGCCTTTGTGCAAAAAGGCCCGGTTTCCCCAATTTTTTTTTGTTTTGAATTGCAAATACGACGCCCTTCATATTCATGAAAAATCCGTGTGAACAGGGTAATTCATTACCGCTGCTAGTGCCAAATAATTTTTGATATTGAAAGAATGCATCAAAAGTGATATCGAAAATAATTGAACACAGAATACCCCTTTCATTTTGAATTCAGATCTTCCTACTAGGTTGCCATTCCGAGGGAATCTGCATCTCAGAGCAGTTACGCGTGGCCATATTGAATATAGAACATAATATGCCTTGATAATAATATGTTTTTACGGTTGCGTCATCTAGGCCCTCTTCTATTTCCAAACATGCAGGTTGCTTATATAATTTGATTTTGTTGAAACCACAGCCATTTGGTCAAAGGCAGTCATTCCCGTAAATACGTGTCAATAATTATTTGGATTGATGATCTTTTGGTGTATTTCATCGTTGTTGCCATGCTGCAATTCATTGTCGAAGATGTTGAAGCCCCATATATGGTGGAGCGCTCAATTTGGCAACCCTGTTCTCGGTACCCATTGGGGTCCCTGGAGTGTGTACATGGCCTTGGCCTGGCTTTCTCTTATCGTTCTTTTGTTCTTCGGATTGTTGAAACCTAGCGACGCAGCACATGACATGGATTTCTTCCATTAATTCCCAGATATTCTTTTTCATTGCCCATATTGCCAGCTAATCGTAACACCCCCGCAAGCTTATTACGTTTGAAAGATGAATTCGCATATTTGACGTCTAGGTCCTTCAAATTTCTATTATATATCTCCAATGTGGTGCAAGACATTGTTGTGGAAAATTGGTCACCCCCATGGTCTGGAGTAAGATTGCTGGCCGGCCTCGGAGTTTTGTCCAAGTTGCAACATAAGAAATTGATGATACGGATAATCGATGAAACCTATCTGAGGTTCAAGGCAATGCTGGAGGATAATCTGATGATGACGAATTGCCTGAATCATCGGTTTTAATCCTTACAAAGAATTCTCTGAAGGCAATCCAGATAGAAATTATTGGCGGGGTAAGCCTTGGTGTACATAGAAATATTCGTATGCGGGGCGGTTTTCGCCCTTCTATGCTCTTGATGTAAACGCAATTAAGAGAGCTTGAACAGACGCATATCACAATGCCAGGAAAACATGGCGTCGAGGAAATTGTCATCGAGCCAATGTTGTTGTTTCCGGCCGGCGGCTTGGCTACGAAAGTCCAAGGGATCGTATCATTGCAACTTGCTGATGTAAGGAGGGATTCTGTTTAATAGGGGGGGGGCCTTTGCCGTGTTGGATTAAATCCTTCCTGCGCCGTCGCGGCTTGCGCGCAAATCTTGAAATATTTGGGCCCCATTCGAACTCGCAATGGAGCAATTAGATCTCAACCTGGAAGCATAGAAGCCTCGAATTCGAATCAACACGTGCTCCCAATTCCCTCAACTTTACGTGCTACCTTTCGTTCACCCTCCTCCCTATAGAAATGCTTTGTTGCTGCCACGGAGCCGCAATAATTCATCTGAATTATTGTCAAAAATTTCCTTTGATATAGAAAAAACACATTTTTTAACTATAGTGTGGTGAATGAGAGCGCGAACGAAAGTGAACGTGAATTAGTTTGCATGAGTGTGAATGAATATAATTGAATGCGAATGAATGCTAGTACGATTGAATATTAATATGAATGAATGAAAATGAATTTGAATTGAGGTTGAATTTATTTAATGAATTCAATTAATGCATGGCATATATATGAATAAATGAATATATATATATTAATATTAAAAATATAATAAAATTATAAAATCATATATTAAAATAACTAAAATATAATGAAACAAATAATTATTGATAATCTATATATATAATTGAAATTGAATTATATATATATTTTAATATATTATTTTACTATAGAATTAATTTATATATTATTAATATATATATATAGATATTTTTTAGAGAATTAATTTATTAATATAAGAATTAATCGATTGATTTTATAATTAGAATAGAATAAATGAATATATATTTATTGATATAAATATCTGATTAATGAAATTGTTGAAAATATTAAACCATATATGTTATATATTAAAATATTAATTATATATGATGGAAGAATTATAAAATTGAATAATATAGATTTAATATATTTATATATATTTATAAATATCATTCTATATATTTTATATACATAATTATGAATATATTAATGTTTTTAATTAATAATAATTTATGCATCTATATTATTAAATATATTATTATAGAATTGTAATTATATCCTAATTAAATATTTTTAAAAACATATAATTATATTTAGTCATATGTAGTATGTTGATTAATATATTTATTTTAATCACATTTAACAATATTATATTTAACAAAACATTATTATTCTATATATTGATGAAAAACATATTATATATATATTTATAAAAAAATATATAATCGAATATATATAAGAATATTATATTTATTCTCCTTATTTTCAATATATATAAAAATAAAAATTGGAGAATTAATTTATAGATATATCGAAATCTAAATTCTATAATAAATATATTATTAAATATAAAAATAACCTTTCATATATTTCAATATCGTAACAAATATAGTAAAATATAATATATATTTATATATATAATATGAATTATGTTAAAGATTTTAATATATATATTATTTAGAAAATATAATATTCTATAAAATGCGATATATAACATATATAATATATATATATTATATTATCTAATTAAAATGAAAAATATTAAAAGAACATATAATATAATTTATAAATGAATATATTAATATAATTAAAAATTCTAATTTAATATAATTATTAATAATATACACAATATTTCAAAAATTATTTTCCATATCATAATTTCTTATTTTTTAATTTCAATATATATGTTTCGTTCGCATTCACATTTAATATATTATAATTACAATAATATATATTTCTATATCTATAATATCATTATGGTGCATATAATCTATATTCTAATTATGTAAAATAAAAGAATATTGTTGTTCAAATGGCGCGGAACCAACATTTAATTTTATGTTCCAAATCTTGCAACAACAACAAAGGATATTTTCCGTAATGATCCAAATAAATTGCGGCTCCGTGGCAACAACAATGCATTCTTTAAGGAAGGAGGAGGAGGGGGAATGAAAGATAGCAGATAAAGCTGAGGGACCAAGACCTCCCTCGCGGTCCTTTCGTTGTGATTAAAGCCATGAATTGGGGGCACGTGTTGATTCGAATTCGAGGCTTCCATGCTTCCAGGTTGAGATCTAATTGCTCCATTGCGAATTTGAATGGGGCACGCTTTGCAAAGAAATTTGCCTAAAGAATGCCAATATCTTAAGATTTAGGCGCAAGCCGCGACGGCGCAGGAATGATTTGATCCAACACGACAAAGGCCCCCCCCTAACTTACATCAATAAATTGAAGCAATTCAATAATACGATCCCGTAGACCTTCGTAGCCAAGCCGCAACAATGTTGGCTTGATAATGAGATACGTCTGTCTAAATTCTCGTAGTTACGCTTATACCAGGATTGATTTGAACCTCAACTTCGTCTAATCGAACATCCGCATCATCAATTTCTGTTTCTGCAGCTTGCACAAGACTCCGAGATTGGCCAATATTCTTTCCCAGACCATGGGATGACCGATTTTCCGAAGTAATGTCTTGCACCAAATTAGACATATATAATAGAAATTTAAAGGGCCTCGACGGTAAATATACGAAAACAATGTTCAAACATATTAAGTATTAAAATCATGGAAACATTACGATTAGCGGACAATGTAAGCAATTAAAAAAAAAATCTAAGAATTAATAAAACAAATCATATATCATTAGATTTCAATAACAAAAAAAACGAATCAAAAAAAAATAGATCAATCCCATATATATATATTCCAGGGGTTCCAATAAATACCGAGAATAAAATTACCAAATTAAGCGTCGAACATATTTCTTCGTAAAATATCGTCCACGCAACCCTCCAATACTTAAAATCGAACACCTCGACATAACATAAAAATAATCCGTTTAATCCAAAAACGATACATTATACCAAATATTTCATTTACATCCAAATAATAATTTCCTTCCCACATTGAAACATATAATTCTTCCAATAATTACTTTAAACAAATATAGTATAAAAAGGATTTATATCTATATATATTTTAATTACGAAAAAATGTAAATATATAATATATATATATGTATAAAATATGCATATATATATAATATGTATATATATATACATATTTCAATATCAATAGTCTTGTTTGTTTTTGATTGGTCTATCAAGTTTGATTTGATTGGATTTCTTTGAGGCGATGTTGTCGTTGTTCCTCCTACACGCGCATCATTATTGATCCCTGGCACGGCTAAACAAATCACGACGTGAATCACGAGTGAAGTCCTTCAGTCGAAGCGACTCGGCATGCAGGTCAGCACACTGCTCCGAGCAAAAACTTGGCCCGGGTTTTGCGTCCTTGGTCCTGAGTTAAGTGTTTTTTTCCAGAAAAACAATATACAATGAGAATACGTGAGGGACGGTCAAAACTCTTTATTCTTCTTCAACCAAAAAATGGACGTCATCGGTTTTGGATTGGACCTTGTCGTTTTACAGTGCTTTGAGTTCGCCACATACTTATGATCATACACAGCGCTGGGGTTATCGGTTTTGAGGTGGACCTTATCGTTTTGCTGGGTTTTGTGCACAAACCTACCCCTCTTTACTAAAGTGGTCTCCGCATGTTTTGACCATAGCTCATGTACTGTATTCGTGCTTGATTATTCACTTCCCTTGCAATATGTACTGCCAAGCTTGTCTATCTGACACTGACCTCAACATTTTTTAGCACAAGCGACTCATGTGAAGCCAAGGCACTCGAAGTATTGTCCTTAGCTTTTTCGACAAGCTCCAAAAACTAGGCTCTTCTTCATATAATGCCTTTTCACGTCTGGCGATGAGTGGCTCTTGCAGTTGTTGATTGATGCTGATTGAACAACTGCAACTATACCGCGATGGGCTTACAGTGCAGCCATCCCACTTTCCCGAGTAAGTTTTACTCCTTCAATTCAAACCATCAACTTTTACATCAATACTACCAACCCTCCTTCATGATGCTCACGATGCCACTCAGCATCTTCAGCATAAATAGCATATCTTCCCAAAGAATATCAAAGAAGTCACCATTCGCAATAATTTTTTCAAATTTGAGCTGGTTTGCATATTCGAATGCATAGCCGAGTTTCTGAAGCATTGGTAGCAGCACTTTTTTAGTGCCGTCTGCCCTGGCGAGCTCAAAGATGTTGGAGTTGGGCCGTTTTGGCCCTCTTGGCCTGAAACAGGTGCGCTCTTTGGACCCCTTGTAAAACCACACGAATGCACATCGGAAGTGATACTTCAGCCGCAACGAGCCGTAACGACATATCGCAGTGTCACTTTTGAGCCAGTCACCTCTCCAGGCCGCGACTGCTTCTTTGAAGGCGGCCGCCTCTACCTCTTCATCCAGCTCGCCATCAAGCAAAGATCGGCCTCGGAGTTTTGCAGATTGATGCCTGTTGCTGAGTGGAGCTACAGCAATCCCGCACAGGCTTTAACACTCAAGGTTTGTCGCTGATGGGGCTGAGCTTTTCACTGCCAAGAAATATTTTGGGACAAAGGCTCAGCATTCCACCTTGCCATGTCCCTGCACTAGGGGCTTCAGAAGAGGCCGTCAATGCTCGCTGCCCCCGAGATGGGGTCTCAGTGGATGCCGTTAGCGCAAGTTGCTGTCCCGCAGCTGGGTCATTCACCTGCGGACTCGATTGGAGTGGATCGAGAATTATTGTGGGATTCTGCAGGCTTGTACGACCATGGAGTTATGATAAGTTATGTCGGCTTGCCAAACTTTCCATGCAAAGCAATTGGTCTTGGTGGCCCAGTGCGAAGATCATGTCAGCTGATTTTGGACACCACGCTTCCGGACCCAAGTCGAAACACAAACGCAAATCCATCCGCTTTGATTTCTTCAGCGCATTTGGTTTGCAAACTCAAGTCCAACTCGGGAGCGATGCCTCAGGGACGCTGAGTCGACCTTGGAGCTCAGACCCACTAACAATGTTCAAACATTGTTCAGGATGAACAAGACTGCAAACAAGATAAACAAGACTAACCGTTTTGCGATCTCCACAATCATCCTCCAAGCAGCCATCATGGCTGCCCCGACCAGATCCCAGCCGCCTGTGGACAAAACATGCTGCACAATCTGGGCAATACCATGCTCTGCTCGAGAATCCTAGCACAGCACCATACAGAATTCCAAAGGGTGAGTTGTTCAAAAGAACCGACCAGCTGCAGCCAAGAGGCAATCGGAGTTTCAAGATGTGGCCAGGCTTCATCCCCAATTCCTGCATATGCTTCTCCTCCATCTCCTCCCAAAGGTGTTTGTTGTCTTAATGCTGACACGTCTTAGTGTCGGGGCATTCCTACGCATTACGACAGAGCTTGAGGGAAATTGGGAGAACTCCAGGCCGGCTGCTGTGCTACTAGGGGTCATGCCAGGGCTGGTCCTGCACCACTTCCATACAGTCAAAACCATTCTCCATGAAGGCCTCCACATACTGATGCAGTCCATTTGCTGTCCTCATCTGAGACCACTTCAGTGAGGGCTAGACTCTGTGGAGTGGAGCCTTCTGTGGAGACTTCTTAACATCTTTAAGATTCTTTAGTTTTATTTTATCACTCTACTAAACCACCTGATAGCGATGGCCTCCAACCTAATAGCGATGCCCTACAACCTACTACTGTAGCGATGGCCTCCAACCTACTACTCCATTCAAGAAGCATTTTGCTTGTGGTACTGACTCCCCTCAATGTAGCATCAATGTCTCCGAGGGTAAGCAACGAACCGTGGCTGGCTCAGCCAGTGCTGACTGTAAGGGAAACTCCGAGAAACAGAATCACTCTGGCATTATCTTAACTGACTTCCGCGTCATCCTGCCATCCAGGGCTCAAGAAGTTCTTGACTTCGGCAGCTTCGGCATCTTCGTATTGCAGTGCTGCACGGAGTCGGGCCGAGGCGCTGGAGACCTTGTTGGGACACCCGTTTTTCGGAGGACGAGCCCAATGACATGCATTCCAAAAGGTGGAAGGTTCAAAAGGAAAACACTCTTGGAGTTCTAGCTCATTCTCGGATCTTGTTGATTGATTTTCGTGCCAAAACAACAAAAACGAGAACATTAAAAGGCCAAGTAATGCAACCATCTTGAAGCAGCTCTCTTGATGACAAACAAAAGAAAAAGCATCTGAGCTGATCACTGGACCTGGAAGCGGCTCAGGCAAGGCTTCCAAAACAGGTGGCTTTACTTTGTGCTTTGGCAAAGCCTCCAACATGGTGCTCCTTGGGAAACATCCCAACTGAATGTGTCCCAATTGGCCGAAATCTGTAGAACCGCTTCTGAACCAGAATTTGCGCAGCATTGAACACATACATACTGAGCAGGCGAAATCCAGAAGTGACTACTTGTGCTCTTCTTGCTTCCCATGCGTAAACTTCAGCCAGGCCACTTGGTCACTGCTTTTGGCCTTGTCCTGGGGAAGAGCAACAATAAACCCCACTCCAAAGCCTCTCATGACTCATGTGCATCCCTGCATGACTCATCAATAGACTCATCACCAATAGAGTCCTACACATCAAATCCTGTTGCCGAACGAGAACTCCACAGCTTCGACCAACAAACTACATCTAATGCGTCGAACCCACCTGAAGCGTTCATCTCGCAGCTGAGTCCACGCCATTGCACCACGGTGCCAGCTTGACGTTTCCAGCACACGGCTTGATGTTTCCACACCAACACCAACAAACCACTCTTTCCATCGAGTTAAAGGCCAAACTGTACAAATCCGAGGCACCTGTAGTCAAATTTGAGACACCTTCACTTCAGCACAGAAAATCAGTGAAACAACGGCATGCTCCACATCACTACAACCCTGTCTCCCCGTTGTATGAGACAACTTCTACTTGGTGGGTGGTGACGTGGCCCGCACTCTCCAAGCGTCTTTGAATTCTCTTGCAATGTCTGCATTGGACGAGCAGTGTGCTTGGCAACTGAGGTGGCAAGTCCTGTTGTTGCAACAGCGATGACACGGCCGAACTCTCTTTCACGAACACACTTTTCCACATGAAGGGCATTGGCACGGCCGAAAAAGTTCTAAACAGGGCACCTGCAATACCCTGCGCAATTGGGTAGCTCAACTTTCAAAGTGAACTTTTGCAAAACGAGCGTGTCCGGATGAGCCCCCAGCTTTGCCGAAGGCCCCGGCACTTGGCACCCAAAAATGTCGTGGGGCACTGGTACTCCAAGGCAATCATCTCACGCTGGGGCGACCTGAACTTCGTCATTGACAGTGTGACCGTAGTCAAACAAACTAATATAACATATTCTGGAGCCAATTCCTCTTGCTCAAAGGATAAAAGTACCGCTAAACCAATTTGATCCAATTTGAATCATAGCATCTGCAGGACAAAATTGACAGCAAGTATAAGTTCCAAGGGGTCTCTGCCAGTAAGGTCAAGGCTTCAGCTTCACCTTAAGATGTTGGACAAACAAGTCAGTATGAAACAATGTCCAACACATTCCAACACGTTTGGACGCTGTGGTGTCCTGGGCTCAAACAGTGCAGCAAGGCAAGTGCAATGTAGTGCGTTGCACGATCTAACAGTACCCCGTTACTTGCCAAATGTTCTCTGTTTTGCCAACTGTATCGGAGTTACACCACCTGCTTGCTGATGCAAATGCACCAAAAGCCGCTGAAGAGTACAAAACAGATTGAGATTCATTGTCAAAGCTCTACATTGACCTGGTTCCTATCTAAATAGCATGGTGGATTTCAGGTGCTTGTTTTGTTGGGTTGTGATATTGATTCGAAGTTATGAAGAGAAATATGACATCCTTAAATGTTCCAAAGCTTTGAACCCCTGAATGCACCAAAACAAACACACCTTTTCAGCGGCTTTATACCAGCGCTGAAGGAAACTTGCAGCAGCGTCAAAAGTCAGATGTTTGCCAGTGAAACCAAATTCAGACTGCCTGATGATTTAACACGAAGTCAAGGAAGTGGATATGAAGACTTTTGCCGTGCAAAACCTTTATTGTCAAGTTGCTGGTGATCGGGGTCAAGCGCTCCACCTGCAGAAAAACATGAACAATTGGTTAACACTACTGGTCAATGACATAGGAAAGGGACCTTTTCCTAACCAGTTTCATCTACAAAAGGGCTTCATATACTACACATATATGCAAATGTATGCATATCTTATCTGTCATAATCGCATTTGAGGGGGTGTTGCCTTTGCAGGTTTCAGCCAAATGTCTATGTCCCATGACCACTTTGTACATTTGATATCATTTAATCATCACTAGTTTTAGTTGTTGCTCATACGCCTGTTGATGAACAAACATAAGCAAACTATGCAGGACATCAACAACCTACTACAGTTGCAAAAACCGATGGGAGTTTGCAAAGTCATCTGGGAGTCCGGCATATCTTGCCTGTGGTCGATTCTTGTTGTTGACCTCTCGCAGCATATTTCGGTCAAACAAATTGCTGAATCTATTGACGGATTGATTCTCAACTAAAGATAAAGCGATTCACATGGCGGTTCAGCAGGTCTGCTCCCCTAGTAGCTTCTTGTTCCCAGTAGTGATGCCAGGAGCCCCTAGTAGCGTCCTTGCTCCTAGTAGCGATGCCAGGAGCCCCTAGTAGCGTTCAAAGCCCTTTGCTCTCCTCCATCCCTGCCTAGTAGCTTCCTTGCTCCCACTTACCCTTTGCCACGTTCGCCACTTGTTAGCTCTCAAGACCTACTCCCCCAAGTGTTGCATTCTCCAAGCCTGGACTGAAAAGGTCACTCGGTTGCCCTTGACTAAGCTATTCTTTTCAACCTCGTTCTTGTGAAGGAAAATGTCACCTCCAAGCTGAGGGTCAAAAGGATTAAGATGGTCAAGCTCTGTCACAATCGACAAACCTGACTTTATCAATTCGTGAAAATGATTGAACATGTACGTCTGATTCGGTTATATGGCCCCTTGTTGGTCCCGTTGTTTGATCTTGCTTGCTTGACATCTTCTTGCCAAAGGCGCAGGCATACTGCAGCTAAAGTCTGCCCTTCCTATCCTGAGGTCTGCTGAGGCCAGTTCTTTGAAAGACCATCTGGGTCTCGGGACATGCCTGGCAATGCACTTAGGCGGCTCTGGAAGAGAAACGGCCGTCAAATTGACGAAAAGGGATGCAAAACTGGAATCAAATGCCAAAAAGTCATAAAACAGCAGTCTTAACGTAACACCCGACCAAGGAAGAACTACCTGCCAACTACGTAGCTGTTGGCAAGTTCTGCCGCCAGGCGGTGAGCCCCGGAAATGTGGAAAGCCAGAATTTGACCCGGGAAAGCTTCAACTCATGCCACCAGGTGGCTATGAAGCCGAAGCCTTTGTCTGGCCAGTATTCCTTCACAGTTCCAACCTGGGAGGCCATGCTGTGGCTCTATGGAGCGATGGAGCTGAGCTTTGTGATCCTTGAATACCCTTGAGGTCAATTCAGAGTTCAATCAGTTGAAGCTGTGCTTCAACCTGTTGAGAACGCAACATAGACTTTGCTGAAGTCAATCCAGTGCCTCAAGGCTTGTCCAGGGCCATGTGTTCGAAGAATCCGAGTTACCGATGGCAATGGACTGGATGAAAGTCGTGCAAAAACGGCACTGGTTGTGGGCTGCGGACGACCCCACGCGCCGCTCTACCTTTGTTCCGCATGTGAAGCGGAACAGGGCATAAGTCTTTGCAATGTGCTTCTCGCAATTAACCGTGTCCTGCCTTAATCTTCTTTAGTGACCAGCAGGTAGCTGGGCCATGCGAATAATGTGACAAATGCCATGATCGTCCGAGGATGCTGCATTCACAGCCTGGGGCTTGCCGGCCTCACGGCGGACCAACGCATGCTAGAAAGAACAGTTCCAGATCAAACGTGATCAAACTACGTGGGTGTTTGTGGTGCTTCTTAAGCTAGCTTTTCTGTATTTACATGTATTTACTGTATGTGGACCTGCTGGGTGTAGATGGGGTTGCCATTTTAGTCTGCATGTGATGAGATGTCCCTGACAAATCCACCAGTCTGAATTTAGCATTGCCCATGTAATGGTTCTTGCTTCGTTGCCCTATCCATCATTGCGATATCCCTTGCCTTGTGGGCACCGAGGAGCTAAACCATGGAAAGTGTTGGGCCGGAGAACGCATTGCATGAAGCAAAGCCATAGAAGAAGGAAGTCAAGGAACAAGGGTATGCATGGGATGCAAACAATTGCAAAGTATATTGGCTATGATTGCTGGATGGGCTCAAAACCAAAAAGCTGACCGTTGCAGAAAGGAAAACAACTGTAGTGAGTGATAGTGAGTGCCAAACCTGGAAGAAGACTGTTTTGTCTCCTCCAGCATCAGGTGAACATTGTGATCATGACATAGGCCACTTCCACCCGGCCAGATCACGGAGCACTATGGGCCCCTTGCCTCGTTCATGCCCACCAGAAAGCGGACTTGATCACCTGAAGCAAGGCTACAAGGCTTGTCTCAGATCTACCGGCTGGTAACGGCTGCTCCGTACTGTCCGCCATTTGTATTAGACCTTTCTTCATTTTCTTTGTTTCTGATAGCCATGGCCTCCAACCTAATAGCGATGACCTCCAACCTTTTGAGCCGTTGAACAAGGACTTTGGTCCTTTGCATTGCTCTGAGAGGTCCAGGGCTCATCACTTCAAGACTTCAAGAGACGGGTCAGCAAACTCTATACACGGTTTCTGTTAGAATTGTGTGCTTGTGCTCAGTTGCAATCTGCTGAGTGTGAGCGGTATGGAGCTTTCCCTGCCTCCAAAAGCCCTGCTCCTTGGACAAAAGTGGTCGTACCAGGATGGCAAAGCATGGTGTGAGCCATTCATCAGGCCATTGCCCTTGTCCAATGCGCAGTCGTGCCCCCAATGCTAAGTGACCCGCCCAAGGTGTTTTCTGACCTGAACAGCCACGCAAACAAAATCAAGAATGACCCAGCGCGGCACTCTGACTAGATCAACTCCAGTGGTTCAATCACACTGTGCAAATGTGCCTGGCGCTGGTGCAGAAACACATCTGCCTGGGCGACGCGGCAGTAACTGGTTGAAGTCCGTCGTTCATGGAAGAAAAAGGCCTTGTACTTTTGGAACAGCTCATCACACGCAATAAACCCGAAGCCTGCAGTGAGTTGCAGTGCAGTTGAGTCGGTCGCGACTTTGTGCAGTGGACTCATCAACTGCATCAAGCATGGCCAAACGTTCCAACTCTCGCGAGCTCTCGTCAAAGGCCTTTCTCCGCATTGTAGCTCTTGATGAGGCCTTCCTTGGCGTGGCACTTGAGAAAACATCAGCAATGCTGGGGAAAACCTTGGGATCTTGACCCACCATGTGTCATCGAGGGGTTCCTTGGAACGAGAGTGGAAGGTCTGGAAGACACAGCCCCAAACCAAGGTTCCAACTAGCTTGGCCTTTTTGCGGCGTGCCTGACACTGTGCGGAGGTCAAAGGAACTGAACAAAGCACGTCTCAACGAATCATCTTCTAGAATCAAACACTTGCGTCAAAGGCTGGCCGTCTTCTCGCCAGACTTTTCGTCACCGAGAAGAGCTTCCGCGTCATCATAGCCGTCATATCTCACAAAGGTAGTGCCTCACTCGAACGTTTTGTCAATACAAGCATCCACACATCGAAGGTGCACCGTCCAATAACCCCAAATGAAAAGCACTCTTGGCCATCTGGCCAACCGCTTGCAAAGGCAAACCAATATTGTCCAGTCAG